AACCCATACCATCCCATCCTGTCTCTCTAAGATCCATTTTAACATTGTCCACCCACTTACGCCTTGGTCTTCCCAGTGGTCTCTTTCCTTCTGGCTTTCCCACCAATATCCTATATGCATTCCTCGTCTATCGTTATGTCATGATTTTGCCCTGCATTTTGGTGACGAGACAGTAACATATACTTAGTTTTCTCTGTGTTTACTTCTAGACCAACCTCTTTACTTGCGTCAATTAAAGTTGTATGTTTTTCTTTATGGTATCTACATCAGCCGTGTCAAACATGCGGCACCCATAGCCACAAAGTGCGGCCCCTCAACTTTTAGAGCTAACTGATATTAAAATCAATATTAAAATTTTAGTAGAAATATTTTTTTGTGAAGACAATTTCCCAACAGACCAGAAGACAAGAAGTCTCACGCAGACATAAATTAGCAGGCTGCAGGAAATTCAATGGTTTGCTATTTCTAACATAATTTATTGTGTAATCTCTCTTTTTACATATTGAAAAGCTGTTTGATACTTGTCAAAAATGGCATTCTCTTGCTTTTTAAAACTGTAAGATATGTGACTTTAGGTAATTATATTGAAATTATTCCTAAATAATAAATAGAATTAATTTCCTTGAATCAAAATCTAATGTATATTTCTAATTTGAATTGCGGCCCTGGAATATTATTTACAGGGCTGAGGTGGCCCTCTGTACAAGTTGAGTTTGACATGTCTGATCTACATTATCACCCAGTAGATTCACATCATCGGCGTAGACCAACAGCTGGTGTGTCCCGTTTAATTTCAGTCCCACCTGGTTTCCCTGGACCTTCCGAATTGCATATTCTAAGGCAAAGTTGAAAAGGAGTGGCGATAAAGCAACTCCTTGTTTTAGACCATTCTGGATAGGAAATTATCAGACAAATGTTTACCTACACGGACTTTACTATACGTTTCGTTTAATCACATTTTAATCAACCTAACTACGTAGGTCGTACTGAAAGTCATGAGCAACCTTTTTTACATGCAATTTGGGAACAGCAGACGAAAGAGAGTATGGTGGTAGGTTGAACCAGCTGTTGTGTTAATATTGAGTGTCTTGTGACGTCATCACGTGACCAGTATCACTCCTAGCAAAATGGCCGACAACGATATGTCGTTTCGCCAGCGTGATGTCATCGAATTTCTTGTGAAAGAGGAAATCCCTGCTGCAGAAATCCACCAGACTTCAGCGTGCTTGTGGAAGTGTGTGCATGGGTGCGAGCAGTGTTCGAAGATGGGTGAAACATTCTAGAGATGGGAACACCAGCATCGAAGATGAGCCTCGGAGCGGTCGTCCTCGAACAGCCTCAACTGAACGCAACAGGGAAAGAGTGGATGAGATCATTCAAGATGACAGGAGTGTGACTGTGGACACAATACCCCGAAAACTTGGAATAGGGCACAGTGCAGTATAGGAGATGACTGAAAGCTTGGGCTATAGGAAAGTTTGTGCTCGTTGGGTCCCGCGGTTATTGACCGAAGACCACAAAGGTCAGCGAAAAGCCATCACCTCAGAACTGCTGCAGAGATATTGACACGAAGACGATGATTTTTTGCTCTGTATTGTGACAGGTGACAAAAGCTGGTTTCACCATTTCGAGCCTGAAACGAAACGGCAAGAGTATGGAATGGCACCATTTGCATTCTCCATCAAAAAAGAAGGTAAAGACAGTGCCATCAGCTGCGAAGGTGATGGGCACAGTCTTCAGGAACGCAAACGGGTTTATTCTGGCCGAATTCCTGGAACCTGGGCAAACCATCAATGCTGCTCGTTATGTCCAGCCGCTACACAAGCTCCGTCGTGCATTGCGCGACAAACGTCCGGGTCGAAACATCATCATCCTGCATGACAACGCTCGCCCCCAAGCCGCTGGCCTCACATTGGAAGCAACTGTAAAGATGGGGTGGGAAGTTCTTCCACACCCCTCCTATAGCCCTGATCTGGCACCCTCCGACTACCATCTTTTCGGATTTGTGAAGGATCAGCTGCGTGGACAACGTTTTAAGACAAGGGAGGCAATTCAGAAAGCAGTGCGTCAGTGTCTTCGGATGGCTTGAACGGAATTTTACAGAAGGGGAATTTTCAAAGTCCCAGAACGCTGGAAGAAATGTGTACAAAGAAGTGGCGATTATGTGGAAAAATAAAGAAAGATCTGTGGATTGAGGCGATGTATTTGGTTTGTCAATAATAAAGTATGTTACTTTACAAAAAATTGTTGCTCACGACTTTCAGTACGACCCTCGTAGTTTCATGGGTATCCCAAACTCTATTAGAATATTGTACAATACTTCCCTCCTAACTGAATCATAGGCTTTCTTGACGTCTATGAATACTTGATGTACTGTCTCATCGAACTCCTATTTTTTCTCCAATATCTGACGAATGCATAAGATCTGATCTGTAGTTGATCTGTTGCGTCGAAACCCACGCTGATAATCCCCAAGAATTTCATCTATATATACACTTAACCTTGAAAGAAGAATATTGGACAAAATTTTATATGAAGTTAATAGCAGTGATATCCTCCGATAATTACTACAGTCAGTTTTATCACCCTCCTTGTGCACTGGTACAATAACAGACTCTCTCCATTGATCAGGCAATTTTTATCTTATGCCAAATGGAAGTAATTAGACTGTGGATCTCAGAACGTAATATTTCGCCTCCTGCTTCAATAAGTTCTACCGGAATTTCATTTAATGGATAAAGATATTCGGCCAGGTTACGAAACCTGACAGCTCATGACCGTCATCAGCGTCTCATGTTGGGCTCTGTTCAGTGTGAATTCCTTGTCACAGCTGTCTGAAGATGTAGGGACAGCAGTGAGTAGTGTGATGAAGCAGTCGAAAACAGAAGAAACAGGGGGCTGCTCTTCAGTTTCAGTATAACAGTAACCTAAACAGCTGGCTTTAAACCAACACCTTGAGGGGCGGGACCATAAGAACTGAAATTTCTTTAAAATTATTTTTTCACTTGTAATGCCATTTTATGCTCACGTAAATTCCAAATACAACTTTGGTAATCTTGAAACTGAATTTCTCTTTCCCTTCAATAAAAAAGCATAGTCTTCTTCTTCTTATTCTTCCCTTGGCTCTACAGCCCCAGTGGGCCTAGGCCTACCTCCGTGAACTTCTCCGTTCACTTCGGTTTTTCGCGATCTTACACATTCGGTAGGACTCCTTGGGCGGGTGATCAGCTCGTCGCAAGGCCTCTACCTGTAGACAAACACAGAAAAACGCACACATACAAACTAAACATCCATGCCCTGAGTGGGATTCGAACCCACGATCCCGGTTTCCAAGCGAGCGAAGACAGTACATGCCTTAGACCGCTCGGCTACCGTGACCGGCAAGAAAGCATATTAGTTTACCAAATAACAAAAGAACCGATTGGTTCATTAACCCTACGAAGCATGAAGTTCAGCTATACAATATTTGTTAATAAATTCCCCATTCTCATCGTTGTAACATTCGTCACTGCCCAGTGACGTCGTGGGAAGAAGCTTCGGCCTTACCCATGCTTCAGATATTTACTGAAGTCTTAGGAATGTATCCTTATGCTGCTGACATAATCTGTCTTCAGTTAAGGAATTCAGATTCAAGATAACTCTGTAAAGAAAACTGAAAGGGTTATACCTTTTTGTGATTGTGCGCGAAGAATTGCAGGTGTGTGTTCAGGGCTCCTTAGAGCTAATACAACGGTGCTTTGTCAACATGCCCAGGACACATGTTACTTCATCGTAATCAGTCCTATTTCGCATTAGTGTTAGTTTATGTATTAAAGATAATTTCTTCGCTTAGTGTGCGGCTCCATGATCGATCCCCGTTGCACAAGTGAAGGGTGGTAAGGGAAAGAAAGTGTCCTAAAAAGTTTCAAAATTATGTTGCTTTCGGAGTTAATCACTTACTAGTCAGTTCGGAGGGATTCCGGACAAACGTTAGGAGAAAGCATTCAATTCACCCAACTGTCAGACGGTTGGAAGGAAGTCAGTAAGAAAATTACACAACAGTGAGTTACAATCTATATCACTTTGTGCAACAGCACTGGGGATGTGTGTGCAGGCATTTTTACAGTGATAAATAAAGTGAGTGATACAGTGAAAATCTGGCTTTGCCTAACAATGAATAATCTCCACCCCAGAGGTTACTTGGAAGCTAAAATATAAAATGGGAAAATGGAATGACAGCAGAAATAGCAATGGTGCAGTAGTGGTTGTATCAGTGGTAATAGTATCAGCAACTGAACTGACTGTAAGCAGTTTGTACGTTTATA